GCAATTTTTTTTTTGGCCAGGGCTGGGTTTGAACCAGCCACCTCCAGCATATGGAGCTGGCGCCCTACTCCTTTGAGCTACAGGTGCTGCCCTCAAAGTGGTTTTGATTTGCATTTCTCTGATGATTAAGGATGATGAGCATTTTTTCATGTTTGTAAGCCATGCACCTGTCTTCATCAGAGAAGTTTTTGTTCAAGTCTTTTGTCCACATAGAAATGGGGCTATTTATTCTTTTCTTATTGATTAGTTTGATCACCCTCAGTAGAGTGCCATGGCATCACATAGCTCACAGCAACCTGATAAGATTCTAGTTATCAGACCTTTGTTGAAAGCAAAAATCTTCTCCCATTCTGAAGGTTGTTTGCTTTACTTATTGTGCTTTTGGCTGTGCAAAAGCTTTTGTTTGATCAGATCAAAGTAATGTATTTTTGGTGTTGCTTCAATTGCCCAGGGGGTTCTCCTCATAAAGTATTTTCCCAGACCAATTTCTTCAAGTGTTTTCCTGGTACTCTCTTTTAGTATTTTTATAGTTTCATGTCTTAAGTTTAAATCTTTTATCCAGTGAGAATCAATTTTTGTTAATGGTGAAAGGTGGGAGTCCAGGTTCAGTCTTCTACAGGTCACCAGCCAGTTCACTCAGCACCATTCGTTAAATAGGGAGTCTTTCCCCCACTGAATATTTTTGATAGGCTTGTCGAAGATCAAATGGCGATAAGCAGCTGGGTTCATCTCTTGGTTCTCTATTCTGTTCCATCAATCTACCACTCTGTTTTTGTGCCACTACCATGCTGTTTTGATTTGGATGAATGTTTTTACCATGAAAAAGTGTTGAATTTTATCAAATTCTTTTTCTTATCATTTGAGATGATCATGTTGTTTTTTTCCCTTTTCAGGCTATTAATTTAGTACATTACATTGATTGACATTTGTATGTGGAACCATCCTACATTTGTGTGATAAAGCTCTCTTGGTCATAATGTATAATGCTTTTAATATGCTGTTAGGTACCATATAAGATCATGAAATAATCCTGTACTCCCAGTGGTGAGGGAGGGGGATTGCTTGAATGAAGGAGTTCAAGGCTACCGTGAGCTATGATTGTGTCTGGAACAGACACAGATTGTAGGCAGGCATGGTAAGAGTGTGAACTCCCAAGTCAGACTATCTACATTTGAATTTGTGCTCTGTTACTTATTTGTTATAAATTATTTTGGGATTTAACCTCTTTGTGTCCCGGCTTTCTTAACTGTAAAAAAGGGAATAATAGATCTTACTTCACAAAGTTGTCGTGGGGATTATATGCATTGATATATACAAAAAAACTTGGTTCCTAGTTCATAATTAGAAATAATTATAGAAAGTATTTTTTATAAGGTAGTCATTAATTGGGGTTAAAATAAAGAGCTCTAGACATTTCAATGAACAGGCTAACAGTAAAGGTCAAGGCAGCAATGTTGGATGGTGGGTCCAAGGAAGCACTGTATTTTTGTTTAGATTTATAAAACTCTGGACTAGTAGAGGAAGGAAAGTCTTAACAAATGCCCTGTCCCATGAAAACAAATGAGTCTCTTTAGTAATATCTAGGAGAGAAGGTCCTATAGTCTACAAAATTGCAATAGAGAGGCATTTTATCAGAGTAGAAAATCTTGTAAAAAGCAAGCAAGGTCCTTGGAGAGGAAAACCTGTTTACTTTAACCGAAGTCTGATCTTCACTGTGGGCCTCAGGGAACCAAAGAATGGATAATTACAGACCCAAATAATGATCAAAGCTTTAAAAATTTTTGTGTCCTCTTCTTCCTTACCTTCCCCTAAATACATAAATATACTCCGCAGCTGATCAGTACTTATCAGGAAAAGAATTGGATTCACATCCCAAATATAATGAAAATATGACATATGAATGGTTGCTGTCTTTAAAAATTAAAAAGAAAAAACTTTATTTAAATGAGCTGATTTTGAATGAATATGAAATGTTCCTACCTTGGAACCCAAGAAAGTGAGTACTGGCTCGGCGCCTGTGGCTCAAGCGGCTAAGGCGCCAGCCACATACACCTAAGGTGGCGGGTTCGAATCCCCAGCCCGGATGCGCCAAACAACAATGATGGCTGCAACCAAAAAATGGCCAGGCGTTGTGGCGGGCGCCTGTAGTCCCAGCTACTTGGGAGGCGGAGGCAGGAGACTCGCTTGAGCCCAGGAGTTGGAGGTTGCTATGAGCGTGATGCCATGGCACTCTACCCAGGGGGATAGCTTGAGGCTCCGTCTCAAAAAAAAAAAAAAAAAAGAAAGAAAGGGAGTACTACGTTCCCAAAACAATTCCCCTTTTTATTTTTTTTTTGCAGTTTTTGGCCAGAGGCTGGGTTTGAACCCACTACCTTTGGCATATGGGGCCAGTGCCCTACTCCTTTTTTGCCACAGGCGCCACCCCCTAAAACAAATCCTACAGCCATTTTCCTGATGTGGTCACAGTAATAGTGATAGTGATTTGTCATATTAACATTTCATATTTTCATCAAGCAGAAACATTAATGCATCGATACATCCTGTGGAGGCTTGGGTCTGTGAACTATTTGGAACTCTAATTGTCCATTCTTTGGTTCAGCCCACAGTGGAAAGGCTACTATCATATAAAATATAAAAACACATTTACCACAACAACGTATTTTAAAAGATGAGAATTTAGTTTATGCTCTTTTTATATTAAGATATAAGTTAATGACTTTTACTTTGTAGGATTTATCACAAAATGTTACCTACCCAGTGCATTTTTGCAAACAGTAACAATTCACTGAGAGTATTAACATTCACATTTTATCAGAGTTTACAAATGTACAAAACTTTGGGTAACAAACACTTTAAACTTATTTTTTAAACATTTGATAAGCCCATTCCCCCAAAACTGTCTGATTACAAAGAAACACGATGGTTTACTAACTGCGGCAAAACCTAAGAAAACAGGCAGGGAGGCAAATACCAATTTGTGACCATAAGAAAATTGTCAATATCAAAAGACAAAAATCAAAACATCTTTTATAAAAGAAAATAAATCCATATAATTAAATACTAATTAGGTGAAAGAACTTTATAGTGTATATAACATTTATTTTCTCTACACAAATTTGCGTATCTTAAATTTAATGCAAAATGTCATGTTACAATTTCAATTTTAGACTATCATAATGTAGTTCTTGGTGAATCTAGGTGTAATGGAATGATTATTTAAATAGACTCCAAAGAATATATCAAGTTTTTATTTGGTTATTGTCGCTTTAACTCTTTAATGTTTTTCCTTATTCACTGGACTATGTCAATTTTAAAAACAAAATCCACAACCAAAGCACATGTGATGAAGCTATTTCTGAAAACACTAAATAGCATACCTTTAGTATGTCATTAAAGTAGTGGTTGTGGTTGAACAAACAAGCAAACAAACAAATATTACTGCAGTTCATGTATGATAAACTTACAAAGCAACATCTGAGAAGTTTTATCTGGTTGTTTACACTATAATGAAATAAGTCTGGTTAATGTGAGTAAAAGGTACTTGACTATAAGTGAAATTCCCAGTTAGCACCAGGTTATGTTTCAGAAAAGTGCATTTGTCGTTGTATTTCATATCAGGAACATATGTTCACAATCCATCAGCTGTAGTTTTAATTTACTAAGAAATGGAAGCATTTAATCTTGATCTATCCACTTCTTTCTCCTATGTTTTAACGTCTTCACTTTGAGATCAGGCACTTTGTGCCCAGGAATGTGGCATCACAACGTTTACTAAAAGTGTATCCATTGACAGAATAACTGTACTGAATTAATAAAGGAAGTGGATATCTTCATTTAGAAAACAAAGCACTGAATTATAATTTTACAGTCACAACACAAGCCCCAGCTCTTCCTAGGCACAGTGGAGCAACCTAAAAAAGAAATAAAAAGAGTTAGATTTGTAGGTAAAAGTGTCAATAATACTACACCAGCTGGGGTACTACTGAAATAGTCTGTACTTGCTGGCAAAGGGCTGCTGTCCTGGCTACCTGTTGCCCTAGTCTGCTGCTGGCCTGGACCCTTCCTCAGGAGTATCGTAGACTACATGGTCGGGGTGTATCATGATTATGTACCATTTGCTCCTCTTTAAAGGTGAGTCTTTTCAACAGCTCGAGGATAAGCCTACAAGAAATATTGTATTTTGGCCAAAATGATGCACATATGGATATGAAAAATGCAAAACATTTAAAGTAACTTTGTGATCGATATAGAGAAAATATCAAGGGTTATCTAGCGAGGTCCTCTAACAGCCATGCTACAGAGATAGTACACAAAATACTCTGAACCCGTGGGGATCTGCTTATTCTAGACAGTGGTTCTCAACCTTCCTAATGCCGCGACCCTTATACAGTTCCTCATGTTGTGATGACCCCCAAACATAAAATTATTTTCATTGCTGCCCACTTCCCTCCACTGACCACCTCAAGTTGACCTAATTTTCATAGACTAGACATGCACCACATGTACGTGGGTACAGGAGGCTGAATCCCTTATGTTGACCAGTTAGTCCCTTGGGTGGTTAACTTACAGGGGTTCTACTGGACTTGGTATTCAAGTAACCTCAAGGAGGGAAACAAACTTGGTGATGGAACTCTAGGACAGTGAGACAGAAGTGTGTCTTGGGGGTGGGAGTGAGGAGGGAAGATTGCTAGGGCAAGGAATATAATTTTAACTTATGGATAAGGAACAATTCTTAGATCTTTCACTTATTGTCTTTTTTTCTTTAAAGGACTATAGACCCTGGGCAATTCATAGTGGAAATAAAAGTGTGGACAAGGATAGTTTTTAAGAACTACTGAACAAAATAAAAATCTCTGCATTTGACCCAAGAAAGTTAAAATATTAGCATGGGGGAGTAGGCTGACTAATGCAAAGTACTAAGAAAGTTCGCTTTGTTCTTATATATGTTGTGGTGTGTACTAAAGTATTTTTTTTCAAATCCACAGTAACTTCTTAATTACTCTGCCCTCCCAGACCAGTAAGATTTTAAGAACAGATGGGACTTCCATTTTAAGGGAATTCTCAGTTATTTTCCACCTGAATCAATTATGTTTATCTCTTTGAAATCAAATAACCTATTTTAAAACCATATCTATTTACAGTATGGTGGATGTAATCTCTAAATCATTTAAATAAAAATGTCAGTTCGGAATTAGCAGTTTTTCTCAAATCACCCAATACACATAGTTTCTATATTGTGAATAGCTGACACTGATTGTCATGACAACTAGCTAGAAAGTGTAGCTTAGAGAGTTTATTAAAATCAATAGTCACCTCCTGCTTTGGGTCAGGGCTGGTGGTGAGGTAGGTTGTGGCTTAAGACTATAATCCCGGCTCGGTGCCCGTAGCACAGTGGTTATGGTGCTAGCCACATACACTGAAGCTGGTTGGTTCGAACCCAGCTCGGGCCAGCTAAAACAAACAGTGACAACTGCAACAAAAAATACTTGGAAGCCTGTAGTCCCAGCTACTTGAGAGGCTGAGGCAAGAGAATCACTTAAGCCCAAGAGTTTGAGGTTGCTGTGAGCTGTGACACCACAGTACTCTACCAAGGGTGACATAATGAGACTCTGTCTCAAAAAAAAAAAAAAAAGACTCTGTAATCTCATTTCAGTCCCTATACAAATGTTCTCTTGTCCATCTGTCAGAACATTAAAAGGAAACATTTATTTTTCTGGTAATATGGTTATAAGTTCACATACTTAGATGCTTCACATAGTAATACAGATGGCATATAAACAAAATAGCTATGTGGCCACAGATGATGAATTTTGATAACAGAGCGAATGGCAAAAAGTGGTAATTATCTGTAATAACAAGTCTCATACACTGGCCTACAGAGTTTCTGTAACTGGCCTAAGGGCTTAAATCAAATATATCTCATAATAGGAGATTTTTCTCTCTTTGTGGTCTCCTTGGTTGTCGTTCGCAACTGCTTCTGCCATAGTGGGGAGCTGAAACTAGGTAACTGTAATTTCTAATGAAAGCCTGTAGCTCTAACTTAATCCTTCCTCCCTTCACCAAACCATCTCACTTACTTAAGAAAAAGGATCAAGGTTATACAATCCAAGTCCTTTTATCCTATCCTTCTCTTTAATTACAAACTCCCTCTATCTTTTCCGCAGCCATATTCTTGTCTCTTCCTTGGAGGATAAGACTTTCCCTCCAGTCTGAGGATGACCAGGTTTTGCTCTTAATTTTGTTTCCGGCCCTTTTCCAGGAAGGTGCCCTTCAGGTTTGCTCTTTCTAGCATCTGGAATTTTCTTCCACTCTCTTCTTATTTCTGTGGGAAGAAAAATCCTTAGCTCAAATCCTAACTCCACCATTTAATTGCTACATGGCCTTGGATTAGCTATTTGAACTCTGTACCTCAGACTCATCAGCCAGTACAATGGGGAAATAACAGTACTTACCTTATACTACTGTTAGGATGGTTAAGTTATTGATGCTTAGAACAGAGCCTGTTAATAATTGTCATAATTTCAGAATTGCATGCCCCTCTAGCTCTTACAGTCTTTCCTCTTTACTTTTTAAATGGTGTGCTGGTTTCTGCTTTTCATTAGATTCTCAGAGGGCCCCAAAACTTCATGAATAACAAATTATCTTCATTCGTCCTTACACTGTTAAAATGCCTGCTCCTCCCTTAAATGCTCTATCGCAGTATTTTCTAAGAACCTTTCTGATCACTCCTTTGCTGATTTCTTCAGAGGCCACACCTCCCAATCCAACTCAGTTAACGTGCATATATAAAGAATTACTTGACTCTGTATTTAATACGTCAAGCCTTGTAACTGAAGCAATTTTCCAAATGTTTTCCATTTATTCAGCTTTCATTTCCCCCACCCCTAACTTAACTTGCTTTGAGCCTACCTGCATCACTGCCTTGGCTGACAGTCTCTGCGGACTTCTCATTACCAAACTTTGCACAGATCTCCATTCTGACCCTGGCATTCTTCTCCAGTAAGAACTCCTACGCTTTTCAAGCTTGGATCCTTATAACCAGTCACACCTCCTCAATAGGTCTTGCAGATTTCTGCTTCAGTGACATTTATTTCATCTTCCTCACACAACTGCTTCTTTTTCTCCAACGTTTTTGAATTAGATCAATTTACTAAGGCTCAGTTTAAACCTTTCTTTCTTGCTAAAGCCCTTCTCACAACCATTTCTTTTTTCCTGCTTGATTTTTTTATGCCACTCACTACTAACCTGTGGGACACTGAATACCAAAGGCCTTGTCTAGTGGCTTCTCTCCTCCCACCTGTAGATCTGACTTACCTAATAAGTTAAATTCTACAACAGCAGAACTTCTCAAAAGTTTTATTTTCTTGACAATACTTACCATTGTTCTTGTATATAAGAAAAACTTGGCTCAGTTAAACGTTTATTGAGTGTCTTTTATGCTTCAGATACTGAATTGGGTGTGCAAGCCCAGAACTGCTGATTCTGTTCTTGGTGATGGTGGAAGCAAAGACCTCAAAATGTCATTCTTAGATGTGCTAGGGCCTCCCAGAAATAGATATGCTTAGAATTCTTTCTGCCACGTCTAATTTCTTTTATTCTTATTTTTTTTATTTCAGATTAATGTGAGGGTACAAACAATTAGGTTACAAGGTTTGCATTTGTTAGGCAGAGTCCCTATTGTAGTTGTGTCCTGCCACAGGTCAAATTTCTTTTCACGTAATTTAGGATTGCATTTTATTGGGTTATGACCAGAAATTTAATCTGTTCTCAAACAACAGTATTTAAAAATTATTGCTTGTGTAAGGGAAGTTATTCAGATTTTTCTGACTACTATCCTTATTTCTTATTTTCCACAATCTCCCCTCCTTTTGCTGTAACCTTCCTATAGTCCTATCAGCTCTAACTATGCTAGAACCATCATTAAGCAAATGGGGGCAGACCAATTAATAATTTCTCTGATAGTAACTTACACTTAAAAGGTGATTTAGAATCTTCATTATGCTACAAAATTAATACTGCCTCTTGTTTTCTTACATTTAATCAAGAAATGCCTTTATCATATTTATGCTATATATTTCAATATTGGACAAAATTGAGATGATCTGTTTTACCAAAACAGAATATGTAGTAATAATGAAAAAGGAAATGCCGTACCTGGGTCCACTCGTTTGTCTGGGGGTCATAAGCCTCCACTGTATTCAGGTAGGTCTGTCCATCATAGCCCCCGACAGCATATAATTTATCGCCAAGTAGACAGACACCCACTGCGTCCCGGCTGATGCTCATAGATGCTACTGCAGTCCACATGTCTGTTTTGGGATCATATCTGCAAGAAAATTTCAGAACTGAAGCTGACATTTTCCTTTCTTTCTTTTTTGCAGTTTTAGCTGGGGCCAGGTTTGAACCTGCAACCTCTGGCATATGGGGCTGATGCCCTACTCCTTTAAGCCACAGGCGCACTTGAAGCTGGCATTTTTCTCAAAATATTTTTTTGCAGTTTTTGGCCAGGGCTGGGTTTGAACCTGCCACCTCCGGCATATGGGGCGGGCGCCCTATTCCGTTGAGCCATAGGCACTGCACAACACTTTCTTTTTCTTTCTTCTTCTTTTTTTTTAGAGACTGAGTCTCACTTTGTCGCCCTTGGTAGAGTGCCATGGTGTCACAGCTCACGGCAACCTCCAGCTCTTGGCCTTAGATGATTCTCTTGCTTCAGCCTTCTGAGTAGCTGGGCCTATAGGTGCCTGCCACAGCACCCAGCTATTTTTTGTTGCAGTTTGGCTGGTGCTGGGTTCGACCCTGCCACCCTCAGTATATAGGGCCAGTGCCCTACCCCCGAGCCACAAGTGCCTCCCTCAAAATATTTTATATAAAAAGAATTTTGTGCTTCAAGGCTATCTTCTGTCTTCTTTTCTGCCATGTAAATAAAACACGTTTTAGAGAAGAATATCAATATTATCCCCCAAACCTATATAACTTAAAGCATTATAGATTCATTTAGCAGATGGATACCACGTAAAAGGAGCTTATGTAAATACTGAGAATTGCTTTCAGCTTTCGACCGACCACTGAAAATTTGGGGAAATCAACGTGTTAGGCTCTATGTAAGATGTCTTACAACCTCAATCACAATAGCTGTCCATTTTTGGAGTTCTTGTTCCTCTCACGAGATGTCTTAACTACAAGTTCTGAAAGTTGTCTAAAAGCAGATACATCATGCTAAGATGACCTATATTGCATCTAATACCTATTGTATCAAAGAACAGCTTTTTACTGGGTATAAAACTATAGGAAACCCATCATTTATGGGGCAAAGTGTATAAATCCTGGATTATAACATGTAACAATCGTAGTCTAAATTGTTTTCCCTCCCAATACAGGTGAATTGTAGGCATAACTTTCCTGCTTTCTCAAAAACAACAACCAAATCTGCTTATTACTTCACAAAAGTGTCCTGCTAAGATTAGGATGTGGTCTGTTCCCACCAAAACTCATGTTGAAATTTAATTGTCAACGTAACAGTGCTAGGAAGTGGGGCCTCTATGAAGTGATTACGTTGATAAAATGGATTACTATCTTTTTCAAGAGTCTGGGTTAGTTCTTCCAGGAATAGATTAATTTGTGCAAGAGCGGTTGTTATAGGTGAAAGTTGCCTCTCGTGTTACACCTCTTTGTGTACCCGCTTTCCTTTCCCCTTCTCTGCCAATTTCTGACACAGCAAGAGGCCGTCACCAGAAGATACCAGACGTGGCCACCCAATCTTGAACTTCCCTTTCTTTGTAAATTACCTAGGCCCTGGTATTTTGTTATAGGAAACAAACTAAGACGGCACTCATTATCAATAAACCTTCATTTTATTTTTTATTCTTCTAGTCTTTTTCTTTAATAAGTTTATTAAATAATCACACTAAATAAATCTGATCATGTCCAACACATGCACATATGTGCAACAGATGCTCATTAACTTCCTATTGCTCTTTATAATCCAAAGCCTTTATAATACCAAAGACTCTACACGATCTGCCCCACCCTACCAGCTCTCCCTCCTTTCCTACCACTCTCTCCTTCTCTCCTTTGATCTCCAGCCAGAATGGCTGCCTTTCAGTTTCCAGTATGAACCACACTCCTTTCTGCTTTGGAGTGTTCAGACAACCTCCTATTGATTGTGTGTCTTAAATCCATTCAATTTTCTCTACCCTTGAACTAGACAGACTGAACATAACAGCTGGGAACCACAGCTATCGGGTTTTCCACCTGGCCCTATACTTGAGTTTCATGAAGCCAGTTTCGATGACCTGTTCAAGCTTGTAAGGCTTATTACTAGCCTTTTATTTTATCATATTATTTTATATTATTTCATTTTTTATCAAAATATATCAGAAATGTCTCTACCCTTTTCACTTTTAATTTACCTACAGCCCCTAAGTCATTTTGTCTGACATCCATCAAGCTACTTTTCTTTTTTTTTTTTTTAATTGTTGGGGATTCATTGAGGGTACAAGAAACCAGGTTACACTGATTGCACTTGTTAGGTAAAGTCTCTCTTACAATCGTGTCTTGCCCCTAAAAGCTGTGTCACACACCAAGACCACACCCCTCCCTCTATCCCTCTCTCTGCTACCCCTTTCCCCTACCCCTCCCTTCTTCTTTCTCTCTCTGCTCTCCCCTTCCCCACCCCACCGTGTCATTGTCACTAATTGTCCTCATATCAAAATTGAGCACATAGGATTCATGTTCTCCATTCTTGTGAAGCTCCTTTTCTTATTAGGTGCAGTATCCAGTATGAAACAACTATGCAATAAATCTTGTCATGTGCTTAAATTAATGAATTATGCAATCAATTATAAGGTAAAGTTTAAGTAAGGAGGCAGTAATGTGATGAGAGAAAAATCTGAGCAGGCTATAGGCGGGCAGTGGAGAGGTGGTCAGAGCAGAGGACCCAGTGTTTACAGAGTTCCTAAAGAGCTGCCTGGCAGGGGGTGGATGGTCAGTGAAGTTATCGATATGTCTGGGAGCAACAGGGATTTATATGTTTTTGTTTGTTTGTCTATTTCTAGTTTCCCTTCATGGGAAATTACCTCTCCACACAGTCTGAGAGTCTGGAAGTCAAGTTGGATGCGGGAGCATCGTGTCCTCCAATCGCATACAGCAATCCATTCCAGGTTGTCACTCCGACACCACCCCTCCTTTTTGACATCTGGGCACACAGTGTCCATTTGTTAGTATGAGGATCGAAACATTCAACTGATTTGAGACAAGAACTTCCATCACGACCACCAACTGCATAAAGCCTGTAGAAAGAACAAAGGAAATGATAACTAAGAACTTGTGCTATTACTACGCTTAGGACAAAGAAGCTATTCTTACAGGATTTCAGTGAATTTAAGGTGTCATCAATTGTAAGACACATTGTCAATTCATGTGCCATTAAAAATGAACATATGTTACCAATTAAATGACACATGTATATAGCACATATCACTCTGTGTGTACATGAGAAAGAAAATGTAAGCTACACTGAGGGCAATGACAACTAATTCACAGCTGCTGTATGTTGGACAAGTTACACTGACTACAAGGTGCACAGCCATGCTAGAGACATCACAATGTTTCTTAGGGCTGGGTGCAGTGGCTCATGTGTATAATCCTGGCACTTTGGGAGCCCAAGGTGGTAGAAAAATTGCTTGAGGCCAAAAGTTCAAGACCAAGACCAGCCTGGGCAATGTAGTGAAACCCTGTCTCTACAAAAAAAAAAGAAAAAAGCCAGGGTGGTGCCTATGGCTCAAATGAGTAGGGCACCAGTCCCATATGCCAGAGGTGGTGGGTTCAAACCCAGCCCTGGCCAAAAACTACAAAAAAAAAAAAAAGAATAGCCAGGCATAGTAGAGCATCCCTCTAGACCCAGCTACTTTTGAGGCTGAGGCTGGTGGATCATTTGAGCCCAGGAGTTTGAGATTACAGTGAACTATAATTGTGCCACTGCACTCTAACATGGGTGACAAAGTGAGACTCTGCCTCAAAAAAAATGCCCTAAAATATATAAATAGGGTATATAAATATACCATGACTTATTTTTTTAAACAACCATGAAAGTACTTATTTATAAAGAAAGAAACTAAACTTCTCTGAGCATTTACCATTGGGTAGGCATTTTATATGCATTTATTTAACTATCACAGTCATGCTGTATGCTGTGAGAAACCATTTATATCTCTAAAGAAACCCAGGTTCGTGGAGATTAACACACTCGCACAGGGTCACCTGGTAAGAAGCAGAATCAGAACACACAGTTGACTAGTGAGCAGTTGTTTATTCAACAGTCATCTGGAATATGCTTGTAATAGTAAAACAGAAGAATAAAAAGATAGCTTAAATAATAGTATAAAATTAATATTTATTATATATGAACAGTGAGTGATCCTTCATTAAATTAAGTTACTGAAGAAAAAGATATTACAAATTATGAATGACCTAAATGTTGCCTGGATCAATTTAAATTCATTATCAATCAATATGCTGCACTATTTTGAAGTAGCCTTTTATTCTGAACATAAAATATATGTAAACTTTTAAAAATATTTGGATGTAATACTTTTTATTAAGCATAAAATCTTTTGTACTTCCTATTCCTGTGAAAAGCTCTTTATAGATTGAATAGATTCATCTCAAATCTTGGCCTCAAGTAATTCTCCCACCTCAGCCTCCCACAAGCTCTAGGATTACTGGCATGAGTCTACAAACGATTTCAAGTCTCTATTTTTTTTTTTTTTTTAAGAGACAGAGTCTTACTTTATTGCCCTCAGTAGACTGCTGTGGCATCACAGCTCACAGCAACCTCCAACTCCTGGGCTTAGGTGGTTCTCTTGCCTCAGCCTCCCGAGTAGCTGGGACTATAGGTGCCAGTATAGGTGCTGGCCACAATGCCTGGCTATTTTTTGTTGCAGTTTGGCCAGGGCTGGGTTTGAACCCGCCACCCTTGGTATATGGGGCTCGTGCCCTACCCACTGAGCCACAGGCGCTGCCCTTAAGTCTCTATTTTAATCATGATTCTGTCTTCTGGAAATAATGATCAAGCATTTTAAGTAAGAAAAAGCTACCCCTCCCCACTTTTTCTTTAATAACCATAAAAGGCTTCATTTTATGGAAGAAGGGCTCAAAAAGACACATATTTAATCTCTGAGTAACCAACAGCTGTTAGTAATAACTCTGTTTACTCAAAGCAGACAAGAGGCAAGAGAGCACCTCTTTTTAAAGCCATTCTAGTTTTCACCAGTCTACCAAGCTAAGAAAGAAGAAAAGTAAAAATAAAGATAAATCAGTAGAAAGGATATAAGGAATCTTTAGGGAAACACCGAGAGAGACTATTTTAGAAAGACTATATATATACTTTTAACTATAATAACACATAATATACTTTTAAAGGTATATAAGCCATCAGATTTTAACTGTCAACTTAATAATATTGAGTATTTATATAAAATTTCTTCACTCAAAATAACTAGAAATGGGCTCGGCGCCTGTGGCTCAAGCGGCTAAGGCGCCAGCCACATACACCTAAGGTGGCGGGTTCAAATCCCCAGCCCGGGCCCGCCAAACAACAATGATGGCTGTAACCAAAAAATGGCCAGGCATTGTGGCGGGCACCTGTAGTCCCAGCTACTTGGGAGGCTGAGGCAGGAGACTCGCTTGAGCCCAGAGTTGGAGGTTGCTATGAGCTGTGAGGCCATGTCACTCTACCCAGGGGGATAGCTTGAGGCTCCGTCTCAAAAAAAAAAAAACTAGAAATGTATAGTAGATGCACTTTAGGATGAAAGCCTAACTTAATGTTGAGCTATTTATGTTTAGAACTATTATAAAAACAGACATTATTTTAAAATAATTTCTTCAAATCACTCCAAGTATTTGTCAATGTGTATCTCTCAGTTGGAAATTAGCTTGATAAATTTGGTATATTTCATTTTAAGTGCAACTTTAAGTACTTCCTTACTTTCCACTTAGTACTGCCACACCCACTGTGCTCCTAGGAGTGGACATAGTGGCGACAAAATTCCACTGGCGAGCTTGAGGGTCCCATCTTTCTACTGTGTTCAGGTAGCTCCAGCCATCGTGTCCCCCTACAGCATACATGGGACCTTCCAGTACAGCTACCCCTAAGAGGAGACAGGAAAGAAGTAACAACTTAAGATTTGCTCAGTCTTAATCACATTCTAATAAAATATAATTACAATAAGCTTTAAACATATGAATTGAATCAAGCAAAAAATTATGCTATAGATCAGTGTTTTTCAGCCTTTTTTCACAGCACACTTGAGTCTAGAATTAAACTTCCATGGCACACTTAAATTATGTTGATCAAAAAAAAATAAAAAGAGTAAAAGAAGAATATAAAGAATATACTTACTGTGCTGTGAACTTGTTTTACAAATAACTTAACTGATGATCTTTAAAAATTTTCCCAGTACACCTAAGATCCCCTGGTTGAAAAATCCCTGTTAAAGGTATTTGGCTTCCTCACTGCTCTTCTTAGTGGGTAGGTGGGGAGGAAATAGCACTGTAATTCTGGTTTTAAAAGTTTCAGAGGCAGTCAGCAGTTTAAGGTACAATAGTGGAAAGTTATTTTAAAACTACACCAGATACCTGCATTGTGGCTATCTAAAACATTTTTTTTGATAGTTTGGATTTAAGATATATTTGAAAGAATCATTTTTATTCCTTCCCCTATTAATTGAAATCCATGAGATTATCCTATAGTTAGATTTGATATTGTTGCATAAATTAACAAAACCAATTTGTCTCCTGGGTGGTGAATTATATCAATAAAATATGATCTATTGGTATGATTCCTTATCAGGAGTTGAGCCAGCTTCTTCTTTTTTTTTTTTTTTTTTTTTTGAGTTTTTGTTCAGGGCCCTACTCCTTTGAGCCACAGGTGCCGCCCCAAGCCAGCTTCATTTGTTAAATTATTCCACAGTTACCTACTGAGTTTCTGCTAAGTGCCAGGTACTCAGTAAAAACATCACAGATAAGGGTTGTGACCTCATGGACCTTTAATCAGGAAATAGACTCAAAATATATTTCAGAGATTGGTAAGTGCTAATAAAAAAGTAGAACAGAGTGAAGCATAATGGGGAGCACGTGAAAAACGCCGGGTGAAGGACCACTGTTCACTTAGCTGGTGCCATGCTGGCCTCCTGCCCGGCGCAGAGTGTGAAAGTGCTGTGGTTGTGTGGCGTATAGGATTTTGAGCGAATCTGCACAGTAATACTTACCGAGGCCATGCCTATGTGTGGACATAGGTGGCATCACACTCCAAGATTTTGTTTTGGGGTTGTAGCACTCTACAGTATTCAAAGTCTTCAGCCCATCTCTTCCTCCGACGACATACAGTTTGTCATCTAACACTGCAACGCCGAACTGCAGCCTCCTCCCATTCATAGTGGCTACAGGGGTCCACATGTTTGTGCGGAGATCGTACTTTTCAATGCTGGTTGCTCCTAAATAGTAATATATGAAAGTTATGTAAATAAAAATTCCACCATGATTGATAATTTTATGAAATTATACATATAAAAGTATAATTTGTATTGGCATTCATAACAAAGCTTTAAAAATCTAAACATCTAAAAAATAACAAAATCCTAATAATTGTAAAATTCTACCTAAAAGCTTAGAGAGTTTCTAATCTATACTGAAGAATTAACCTTTAAAAAAAGTGAGCACAGGTTGGGCACAGTGGCTGAGGCCTGTAATCTTAGCACTCTGGGAGCTTGAGGCGGGTGGATTGCCTGAGCTCATGAGTTTGAGACCAGCCTGAGCAAGAGCGAGACCCTATCTCTAAGAATAGCTAGGTGTTGTGGCAGAAGCCTGTACTCTTGGCTACTTGGGGAGGCTGAGATAAGAGAATCACTTGAGCCCAAGAGTTTCAGTTGCTGTGAGCCGTTGACGCCATAGCACTCTACCCAGGAAGACAGAGTAAGACTCTGTCTCAGAAAAAAGTAAGCAAAAATGCAATCTAACATGTTTCTTTTTTTTTTTGGCTGGGGGTTGGGTTTGAACCCGCCACCTCTGGCATGTGGGGCTGGCATCCTACTCCTTTGAGCCACCGGTGCCATCCCATGTTTCTTAGCAGCTATTTAGAACCACTATTCTTTTGTTGGGCTCTATACTAAACATACATATGAAGGGACTATGAGGCTAATGATCTAACTAACACAAACTGCTCTTCATAAAATACTAGAAATAACACCAACTAAGGCCAGGAAAAATAATGTGTACGCGACAGGTCAGAGTATTTGATTATTAGGAAAAGACTCAGAGGGTGGCGCCTGTGGCTCAAAAGGGTAGGGTGCTGGTCTCATATGCCAGAGGTGGTGGGTTCAAACCCAGCCCTGGCCAAAAACTGCAGGAAAAAAAAAGGAAAAGACTCAGAAACAAAGCTGGTGAAGTGGCAAGGGCTAGATAATAGAAGGTTTTGAAAGACAGAATGTAAAATTTACATCTTGAAGACTAATGAATAAAGAAGCTGGAGTTTTGGGGGAGAGCATACTGGCATATTAAATGAAGAGTTAATGGAGCAGAGAACATTGTCTCCAAAGTTAAAATGCCAGTTTGAATCTTAATCCCATTGTTAAGTTATGTGATCCTGGGAAAACTACTTAATTCTCTAAGTCTTGGTACCATATCTATACAGGAGAGCAAGAATAACACCCTGCCCTTAGAGCTGTTATGGAGATGAGATGAAGTAAGTCAAGTACTTGCATAATGCCTGGCACATATTAACATGAGGAATGCTATTTTTCCTGGCTCCTAGAAGTTTAGGGCCCAGGGCTGACCTAAAGCTAATCAACTGTATGCCTGTAGGATTTAAAAGCTGAAGTAGGTATTACCAAGAAGCAGGGGCGGCTGGTGTGGGGACTCAGGCTTGTAATACTAGTAACTCTGAGAGACTGGGGCAGGAGGATCCCTTGAGATCAGGAGTTTGAGGACAGCTTAGGCAAGAGTGAGACCTGTCTATACTAAAATTAGAAAAATTTGCTGGATGTTGAGGTGGTTGCCTGTAGTCCCAGGCTGAGGCAGGAGGATCCTCTGAACCCTGGGTCTGAGGTTGCTGTGAGCCGTGTTAAGCAGGGGCAATGGATATAGTTCCTTCTCTTTCATAGCCTTCCAATAAATTCCTCATCTGTTTAAATGAGCCAGAGTTGATGTACATTGAATTATGATTCTGAATTCTCAAGCCTCGGAGACACGGTCAGGGAAGATTTAGACATACCAGGTTTGAGGTGAAAGCCAAACATCAAACAGATATTTTATGCAAGCTACATGTAAGAATGATTCACATCCTATGAGAGAAAGATATGCTTGAGAGAGCATAACATACAGGTTAATAACAAAGATAACAGTGAAAGTGTCAAAAAAGGGAGGTAAAGATGGAAAAGATGAAGAGCGTTAGCAGTAACTACAAAGCCTGGCACCGGTTCTAGACACTTGATAATAAGTATTGGGAAATTATCTGGACCACAGTTTGAAATATTTACACTATAAACCTAATCAGTTATTTTACTTTATAAAGTCTGTACCATTCAGCCATCAAGCCTATATCTAAGAATTCAAGCATCTACAAAGCATATACATAGCACTATGCTATACATTACAGGGGATAAAACACATATATGGATCTTACAGTCTTTGCTTCCATGAACCTAAAAGTTAAATAACAATGCAACAGTTTCCATTGGAGCACATATAATAATTTTATATTCCTTAAAGGTGTCACATATGAGGGAAACCTTTCAATGTGATTAACACTAGATAGGTCAAAGGCTTTAGTCACATAATTAATCAAGAGATGGCAAAGAATGACCTTTACGCTTTTGACAAACACTTATGGATGCTGCCTATGTGCAAGGCATGATGCCAGGCTCCGGGAGTACAGTCAACAGGACAAACTCCTTGCTTTGGGGGAAGAGGTAGACAGACCATAAGGGCATGTAGCAGGTATTAGGAGAAACATAATGCAGATGTAGAAGATAAAAAGTGGCAGGAAAAGGCGAGAAAGCAGGAGATGAGAAGTTACTACTGAATGGTCATAGAAGGCCTCTTTGGGAAGTTAATATTTCAGAGGAGATCTGAGTGAATAAATTCTGCGAGGCACATCAGTACCGGGGGCAGAGCATTCCAGGGAGAGGAACAGCTAATACGCTGTCCCTGATGTGGACACAATGTTTGGAATGTTGGATGAATAAGGCAGTCAGTGGGGCTGGGACAGGAGGATCAGGGAGGGAAGAAAGAGAATGAACTGAAAGTCAGAGAGGTATAAGTCAGAGAAGTATTGTCAGGGAACTGTAGATGATCAGTACCAGGAATTCAGAGAAAGGAGATATCAGTGTATACCGAGAGATAATATAAACAAAGCTTTTCATGCAATACCTGGTGCCCAGTGGGTGCTATGAATAGTTTTGTTGCTATTATTATTATTATTATTTGAGACAGAGCCTTAAGCAGTCCCCCTGGATAGAGTGCTGTGGCATCACAGCTCACAGCAACCTCCAACTCCTGGGCTCAAGTGAGTCTCCTGCCTCTGCCTCCCAAGTAGCTGGGACCACCGGCGTCCGCCACCTGGCTATTTTTTGGTTGCAGCCATCATTGTTGTTTGGCGGGCCCGGGCTGGATTCAAACCTGCCACCTTAGGTATATGTGGCTGGCGCCTTAGTCACGTGAGCCACAGGCGCTGAGCCTGCTATTATTTTTAATGTCAGCAAGAAGTGTTGTATGAATCGAATTTTCAGATACCCTTGACCTACATTTCCCAAATATTTATGTTTTACTACAGTTCTGTTCTATGCATGCATGTATGTATGAACATATGTGCGTATGCTTGTGTTTTTTTCCGAACTGCTTAAGAGTAAGTTACAGAAACGATGGTGCCTTTCTGTGTAGTACTCCTTTTTTTTTTTTTGCAGTTTTTGGCAGAGGCTGGGTTTGAACCCACCACCTTTGGTATATGGGGCTGGCACCCTACACCTTTGAGCCACAGGCGCCACCCATGTGTAGTACTCCTAAATACTTTAGTGTATTTTCTGCAAAATGAGAAATTCTCTTATAAAATCAAAATACAATCTTCAAAATCTGAAAATTAACATTTATAAATGCTATTATCTAATCCACAGACCTTATTTGGATTTTATCATTTGTCCTCTAAAGGAAAAGACAATCCAAGATGATGCAACAGTTATCATGTCTCTCTAGTCTTCCGTAATCTGGAACAACTCCTAAATCTTTTTTGTATTTCATGATAGTGACATTTTAATTTATTTATTTATTTTTGAGACAGACCTTCAAGCTGTCGCCCTGGGTAGAGTGCTGTGGCATCACAACTCACAGCAACCTCCAACTCCTGGGCTCAAGTGAGTCTCCTGCCTCCGCCTCCCAAGTAGCTGGGACCACAGGCACCCGCCACAACGCCCAGCTATTTTTTGGTTGCAGCCAACGTTACTGTTTTTTTGGCGGGCCTGAAATGGATTCGAACGTGCCACCTTAGGTGTATGTGACTGGCGCCTTAGCTGCTTGAGCCACAGGCGCCCAGCCGATAGTGACATTTTTAAATACTAAGGACCAGACAAGTTACTCAGAATGTCTCTCTTTCTTCCTCTTGATTAAATTGAGGTTGTACACTTGTAGCAGGAATACCCCAGATGTGCTGAGGCTCAGGCTCATTTCTGGCAACATTACCTTTAATCATTTGGCAAAGGCACTATGGGCCAGGTTTCTCCACTGCGATGATACTATTTTACTTTTGTAACTAATAAAGAAGTGGTTGGGGTTCTTCTTAGTAAAGTATCACAAGAATGGAGAAGCAAGAATCCAGTGTACTCAATTCTGATATGAGGACAATTGATGACCCAGTACATGGTGAAGGATGGGGGTATGGGGGAGTGGAGAAAAGGAAGGAGGGAGAGGGTGGGAGTCACAGTGTATGACAGACTCTTGGAGGTGGGACACAATTATAAGGGGACTTTGCTGAACAAATGCAATCAGTGTAAGCTGGTTCTCTGTACCCTCAATGAATCCCCAATAATAAAAAAAATAGGTGAGGGGGGTCATGGGTGTGACACATCTCTTGGGGATGGGACACAATTATAAGAGGGATTTTACCTAACAAATGCAATCAGTGTAACCTGGTTCTCTGTACGCTCAATGAATCTCCCAAAATAAAAAAAAATAAGGGGGTCATAGGGTGTGACACATCTCTTGGTGATGGGACACAATTGTAAGGGGGACTTTACATAACGAATGCAATCAGTGTAATGTGGTGTTTTAATCCCCAACAATGAAAATGTTGACAGGGGCAGCCTCTATAAACTGATAATCTTTTACTATCACGATTTATTTTACGCTCCAGTTATTCCTGATGTGGACAGGGGCAGCCTCTATAAACTGTGATAATCTTTTACTATCATGATTTATTTTATGCTCCAATCATTCCTGATGTGGACAGGGGCAGTCTCTACAAGGTGCTGCCTGCATCTTTTGACCTGTCTCCATCCTTCTTTGGTTACTTCCTTACTTTCTGGCACCAGAGGATGTCCCAAGTTTGTCTTGTACTTTTTTGCCCCTGTCCTGCAACCAGGAATTTCTCCAAAGAAGCTTTTGACCATAAATATTAGTTATTAAAATTCCTCATTTTTTTCTGTTCTCCTAAATAAAAGATTATTCAATACCTTTTGTTGAATCCATCCCTCCAACTGCAAACAATGTGCCAACAGTTGACTTCCTAGGTTTTGTCCGAGGACTTTGCAACATGGGTCGTCTCTCTGGTAACAGATGATACTTCATTGCTTCCATAATGAGTTTCTGACATTCTATATCATCCCGAAAAAGTGCATTATTTTCCATGTCTGCCAGGAACTAGAAAAGAACAGTGATTATACACCCAATGGCTAAGAAAACAGTAAGGTTAAAAGAATAAAGGGAAATGATTTCACGTTTTAAAAAATTCAAGCTTGGGCACATATTTTAAACTAAAATACATGAAATTTATAAAATTTATATTTTTAATTTTACTGGAAACCAAAACTGAAGAGCATATATGGTACATATATACTCTAAAGTTTTAATACCATAGCGCTTACTTCTGGCTGGTAGGAGTACTAGTGCTTTGTAAATGATCTTCTTACTACTTTTCTATAATTTCCATATTTTCTAAAATAAATTATCTTACTTTTAAAATTAGAAATAATTTTAACTGAAGAAGAATTATGAGAAGTGGGAGTTGATTAACTAGACTACATTTATCTGCCTACTCTAACCAATGCTCAAACAACAAAAACAAAACTTACCAATTTCTCAAGGGGCAAAGAACTTCAAATGGTGATTATTCTAAAAAAATTAAAATTCCTTGTGCTTCCTTGAATCCTACCTAACTACACAAAAACAGATCACATATGTGGTTGCACTGTGCCTGTTTAACAATGAAGGTCTTTTCCTTTTGTGCTTGGTTCTCCATCACCCTACCTATGCTGCAAGCCTTCCCTGCCTTCTAAAACAACCTCGTATTCATCCTTTCATATCTTCTCCACACTCATACAATCCTCTGCTGACATTATTCTCTCTCACACACACACACACGTAATAGGTATACAGTGTTTTCCATTACTAATTGTTTTATTATACATTTTGTTGCATCTTACCATTTTTGTTCAACAATATCTCATGAAAAATTCCTCCAAGTCTTCATGAAAAGATGTAGTTCTGATTTATTTTAATAACTGAATAATACCCCACAGTACATAGATGTACTAATTTTTTCCAGCCATTCCCTTATTATGGACATTAACTTTGTTTCCAGTATGTATATACATTCACACACACATATGTATACAGAGATACACACATATATGTACATACACTTAAAAAAAATTTGCTACTAAAAACAAGTCTTATACAGAAGTTCTTATATACTGATTTCACCTTCATGGATAGATTTCTAGGAACTGAACTGACTCCAGGCAAGAAGGCTGGTCAGACACACACACACAGTAAATGCTATCAGATTACTTTCCAAAGAGACAGTAATAATTCATATTTCCATCAGTCATGTATGACAGCCTAGCTCTTTTTATTGTTGCCAATGGTATCACATTTTCCCCTTAGTTTGAATTTTCCTGATAAGCAAATATAAGCATTAAAAAAAAAAAAAGGAACATTTTGGCCAACTGCAATTTCCTTCTCCTTTGTCTGCCTCCAGTTTTCTATTGTTTACCTCTTGATTGGAAATTAGTAAGAGTTCTTAATAACACACATAGTAATCCTTTATTTTTCTAGATTTATCATTACTGAGATTTCATAAAAATTTTAGCTATACAAGCAGCAGCCTGGATAACACAAATTTTGAAGGTCTATGAGTGTCATGCAAATATAAATATCTGAAGCTGCAGAAATGCAGTAAATTTTCAGGTTTACTTAAATGTCCAGATTTTTTCCAAGTCTAATAGGATTTTTCAGATTTTGTTTCATCTATAAAGAATAAAAAAGAATCTGCTAAGTAGTAAAAAGTTACCCCCTTCTTTAAATGTGGTTTTGAGAGAAACTTTTTATTATGTTATTTGTCCTGAATTGTCATCAATTCATGTGGTTTTATGCCTATGTATTCATACAATGATCAACCTCTGAAGAGGGAATCTTACAAGCATCAGCACTGATTACTGTCCTTGTAAGCCTGAGAGCAAACAGTAACTTCGTTCACAGCAGCAGGAATTAATACATTATGCTCCAGATAAATACAAGTAAGATAATATTTATGGCATTTTAGATTAAAAAAACAAAGTCTGACCTTGAATAGTAACAGCTGCTTTCCTTTTCTGCTTTCAAGACCTCTTTCTCCATTTTAGGCCTTGAAATAGTCAGCAAAGTATGCAGAGGGAATTTTTTGTGTATTCCAGTGAAAATTGTAAAAAGGGAAAACCGTGTCTATAAATATATTATGACTGATTACCTGCCTTGAATACAACAAATAGATACCTCTTAATCCCTTTTTTTGAGACAAAGTCTCACTCTGTTACCTCTGCCTAGAGATATCTCTTAATTCTCAACTAATGATGATAATGATATTATTTATAGCACATTTTATTTTACAGAGCATGTTTCTGAGCTTCACAGTAATTCTGTGAGATAGTCAGAGAGGATATTAACTCTACCTGACAGATGAAGAAACTGAGATGTGTGAATATGCCAAGTAACAGAGTTTTAAAATAAGAACTATTGTCCTATCTTATTAATCTATATATCACTAGATTCTACTATTTAGTAGATACTTAATAAACATGTAGCAAATGAATTAATCTACATTTTCTGGTTCCTAGGTTCCAACGTTTTCCTTTTATTAGCAGCTTTGCTAATTTTCCTCCAATTCCAATTGGTAGGATAGGTTTACAGCTAAGTCAAATAAAATTATTAACTCCAAGCTAAGATTGTTATTAATTGATGCAATGTAGGTAGCCAGACTTTCTGGATTGAAAACATAAGCAGAAGTTTGTTACTTTACTATCTTTTCATCTATGCGTCACAAAGAAATATAAGTAAAATTACTTTATTTAACAGAACAGGCAAAGGGAAAACCCCCCATATAACCAAATAACTATTAATTACCTGTGGTGCAAGAAGAGGTAGCCTAATATAAGCCAAAAGTTTACTGAGATCTTTCCGTCTCTGTTCCAAATCATGACGGACCCATGTAAGAAGTGCATTCAATATGGTTTCCTCATTAGGAATGTTCATGTCATCACTGGCCAAAAGCTTTGCAATTTCACTGGCTGGTAATAATACAAATTCCTGGTTTCTGATTACTTCCATAAAATGCTCCTGGAGGGAAAAATTGCAGATGAACAATACTGTTTCTTCTGGCCATCAGTTTATTTAAAAGAAACTAAAAGTTTTCTGTGTTAGATGCTTACATTGTATTATGAGTTGGTAGGAAATAAACATAGCAGAAAAAACTATTTAAACTGCAATTATGGCTCAGTGCCTGTAGCACAGTGATTATGGCGTCAGCCACATACACCAGGGCTGGTGGGTTCGAACCTGGTCTGGGCCAGCTACACAATGACAACTGCAACAAAAAATAGCTAAACAGTAGATGGCAGCACCCCTGGCTCAGTGATTATG